TCATCAGCCTCACACTTTTATGTGTACTTAGTAACATTTTATGCAGCTGTCTACATAATTTACATCTTCCTCATTTATACAATTCCCTTTAATAATGTGACCCAGATTAATATAGTCCTAAGGATTAGAACTGCAATAACTTAAAAAGACTCACACACAACTTCAAAAAAGTCAACTTTTCACACATTGGCTTCTAAAGACAACTTAAGTCAGAAAATGAGCAGTGCAGAGTGTGATGAGCGGAACAGTGATCCTGGGAAGATATCCATGTCCTAATCCCAAAAATCTGGGAATGTTACCTTACATGGCAAAGGAAACTTTGCAGATATATTAAGGTTAAGGACCTTGAAATTGGGAGAGGGTCCTGAATTATCCAGAAGGAAATTAATCTAATCACATGAGTCCTTAAAAAAAGGAAGAAGGAAATTAGATCACCAACTTACACCATACACAAAAACACACTCAAAATAGCTAAAGGACTTAAATGTAAGATGGGAAAGCACAAAAATCCTACAAGACTCTATAGGCAGCAAATAGCAGACATATGTCATAGCAATATCTTTATAGACACAGCTCCAGGAGCAATGGAGATTAAGGAGAAAATAAACAAATGGGACTACATCAAAATAAAAAGCTTCTGCACAGAAAAAGAAACCTTCAACAAAACAACAAGAAAGCCCACTGCATGGGAGAACATATTTGCCAATGTTATCACCGATAAGGGTTTAATCTCTAATATTTACAGGGAACTCATACAACTTAACAAAAGGAAGATAAATGATCCAATCAAAAAATGGGCAAAGGACCTAAATAGACACTTTTCAAAAGAGGACATTCAGAAAGCCAAGAGACACATGAAAACATGCTCAAAGTCACTAATCATCTGAGAGATGCAAATCAAAACAACAATGAGGTACCATCTCACACCTGTCAGAATGGCTATCATCAACAAATCAACAAACGACAAGTGCTGGCGAAGATGTGGAGAAAAAGGAACCCTTGTGCACTGCTGGTGGGAATGCACACTGGTGCAGCCAGTATGTGGAAGACAGTATGGAGTTTCCTCAAAAAGTTAAAAATGGAACTCCCATTTGACCCAGTAATCCCATTTCCAGGAAGGACTATATCCCAAGAAACTGGAAACACCAATCAGAAAGGATATATGCACCCCTATGTTCATAGCAGCACAATTTACAATAGCTAAGATTTGGAAACAACCTAAGTGCCCATCATCAGATGAGTGGATTAAAAAACTATGGTACATCTACATAATGGAATACTATGCCGCTATTAAAAAAGAAGGAACTTTTACCATGTGCAACAGCATGGATGGAACTGGAGAGCATTATGCTAAGCGAAATAAGCCAGTTGGAAGATAAATATCACATGATCTCACTCATATGTGGAATATAATGATTAACATAATTTGATGAACAAGAATAGATCCAGAGACAAATGCGGGGGGGGGGGGGGGGGGGGCAGTTAAAGATCAACCAAAGGACTTATATGCATGCATATTAGCATAACCAATGGACACAGACACTGGGGAGGTGTGGGAATGGCTGGTGGGGGCGAGGGTCAATGGGGGGGGGCAGGGGAGGAGACATATGTAAAACATTAGACAATAAATAAATAAAAATAATTTTTTAAAAAAAGGAAGAAGGAGACAGAAGAGCAGGTCAGAGAAATTGTACCATGAAAAGGACTGACCCACCACTTCAGTTTTGAATACAGAGGAGACCGCAGGACAAGGCAAGGAAAGGAAATCTCCCATAGAGCCTCCAGAAGAAACACATCCCTGCCCACTCCTTACTTTAGCCCTAATGAAACCCAGAGTGAACTTCTAACCTACAAAACTATAGAATGATATATTTAAGTTGTGGTAAGTTGTTGGGGCAGCAATAGAAAAGTAATACACAGAGCACACCTAGCTTATTTGCAGGAAAACAAACTGAGCACACTGGAACCCAGCTCCTGATTTGAAATTGCAGCTATACTACTTGTCAGCAGAGTCACCTTAAACCATCTAGTAACCCTCCCTAAGCCTCCGTGTTCTCATCTGTAAAATGAGGCTAGTAGTACAGTAAGTCCTCACGCTTAATGTCTTTGGTAGATTGGTAGACTTCAAGCAAAACAATGTATAACAAAACCAATTTTACCATAGGCTAACTAATATACTAGTAAACAAGAGTTATGTTCTTAAGGCATCTTATCAACATTATAACAAAACAACATTATTCACAAATCTGCTATAAAACCTATCTTAAAAGACTGTTGAAAAACTAAATGAGTTAATTAAAGTACTTAAAATATTGGTTCACAGAGAAGGCAGTAAGCACATGTGAACTACTGCTATTATTGGTTTTAATCAATAATAAATACCTTCTCACCCTAGCCAGTTTGGCTCAGTGGATAGAGTATCAACCTGCGGACTGAAGGGTCCCAGGTTCGATTTTGGATCCCTGGCCATGGCTGGAGCGAGTCAGGAGGAAACCAATCGATGTGTCTCTCTCACATCAATGTTTCTCTCTCTGACTCGCCCCCTCCCTTCCAGTCTCTCTAAAAATCAATGGAAAAATATCTGTGGGTGAAGATTAACCAAAATAATAATAATAATAATAATAATAATAACTATCTTCTTTTTCAGTCACCCGCAGAAAAATCATGAGATCGTCTTCAAAACAGTCAAGGAAATGAACCCTTCTAAAACTTAAGTTTTAGCCCTAGTCAGTTTGGCTCAGTAGACAGAGTGTTGGCCTGCAGAGTCACAGGTTTGATTCCTGTCAAGGGCACATGCCCAGGTTGCAGGCTCAATCCCCAGTAGCGGGTAGGCAGGAGGCAGCGATCAATGATTCTCCCTCATCATTGATGTTTCTATATCTCCCTCTCCCTTCCTTTATAAAATCAATAAAAATATTTTTTAAAAAATAAATAAATAAATGAATAAAAATAAACCTTAAGGCTTACACACGTGTCCACAAGCAATCTGCATAATAGTCTCAGCTACACTGAACTAAGATGCGCGGTTCTTCAAGAGTCATTCCCGATAATTAAGGAAGAGAGCAAAAGTCAAAGTGCCAACATGAACTCCACTACATGATAACCACTCACCCAGGGCCTGACAAAGTGCCCATCAAAAAGTAAGAGCTGTCTTATTAAAAATAATAGGCACTGCAAAATTAGTTTCTACTGAAATTGTCCATAACTGGCAGTTTTTCAGTTTATTTGGTATTTATACAGCACTTTTTATTTGCAAAACCTGCTCTATCATTTCTTCATAAACAATTAAGTTTTTATTTTACTTGCCTATTGACTCGGCAAAATTTACATAAATTGACATAGCCTAGCTAAGCAATGAGGACTCACACTATTAAAAAAAACAAACAAACATAATGACTGGTAATTTCCACAAAAATTACAGGCAAATACAAATCAAATGTATAGATATATTTTGTTTCATAATTCCACACACTGCAACAGCCCAAAGCAGTGTCAATAGCAAGAGATAACAACACTGTATCAGAAAGGGAGAAAACAAAACCTTTGAACACCTGAGTAAGACTTTTGTCAAGTACCATAATAAAAATCAGTGTGTGAGGTCTTTAAAAAAAAAAATTAATAACTAAGCAGACTAACATAAAAACCTATTATAAAATAATTCGTAGAGTAAAAGAAATAAACTTTAGAATTCCAAGCCTAAATAACTCTAAATTTAAATAAATTATATTTTAAAAGGTAATTGAATATGCCCCAGCAAAAATAATATATTAAGCTCTCAAAAAAAATAGTACTTTCAGTTAGTAACACAGAATGTACTGATTAAATTCAAACAATTTTTCTACCTTTTTATTATTTCAAGCTCTATAGGATTATAGAACTAGTTAGAACTATTAAAACTAGTTTTTATCTGAAAAGCCAGTGACAGATGACATTACTATTTTTTGTAATCTTTATTGTTGAAAGTATTACATAAGTCCTCTTTTTCCCCTATCGATCCCCTCCAACCCATCCACCCTCCACCCCAGGCCCTCACCATCCTACAGTCTGCGTCCATGGGTTGTGCATATATACATACAAGGCCTTTGGTTGATTACCTCCCACTCACCCTCCCTCACCTTCCCTCTAAGATTCCACTCTCTGTTCCATGCTTCCATGTCTCTGGATTCACTCCGATCATCAGTTTATTTAGTTAATTAGATTCCATATATGAGTGAGATCATGTGTTACTATTTCTTTAAAAGGCATTGAGGAAGGCTGTCAAAGGAAGGCACCTGCAGGGCAACCCACAAAAGATATCCAGTCCCTTCTCCCTAACCCAAGGTGCAATAGCAGAGCAGCTCCTTGCAAAGGCCCACTCTCTAAGCACAGCTGGTCTGAATACTCTGATGATCAGGTCTGAGCCATACCAAAATTCCCCTAAATCTTTGCATCCAGAGTCAAAGTACACTCTCCCTCCTCCAACTATAAATATAGGCCAAACTGGCTCTCCTTTATCTTATTCAACAGAATTTAGGTAGCCCAAGAAGAAACTGGATATATCCTCAAAGTGTGTGTTGTGTGTGTGTCTGTGTGTGCATGTGCATGCACATATGAAGTGGGGAGGCCACTGAAAGATACAGGAGTCAAAATACATAACGGGGGTCACACATGCAAAAACCCTCAAGGACCACACAGGGACTGTAATAAATGAGGCAGCCGGGTCAAAGCTAACAGAAGCAATAGAGGTTATAGCAAAAGGATAAGACATCCTCCATAAAAAACATTCAAATTCAACCTCAGAAAAACAAGCAATGCCAGTCAAATAAAACACATCCTCAGCTGGATTCAGCAGGCAGGCCAGATTGCTAGATGGATGCAGCAGGCCCAGCCAATCCCCTTAAATCGTGTTCTCTCTGAGGAAAGCAAAGGGCTCCTCACAGGCCCCAGGGGACTAGCGTCAAGCCCCCCAACCCTGCAAGCTCCCCAGATCTTTGCCAGGAGCTGGAAAATTAAACACTTACCAGGTGTCGAGCTTCCAGGTGTCGAATATTGAGAGGTATCAAGAAATTTTCGAGGTGTAGGAAGGTTTGTAACATCAATCAGAGGAATAGGAGAAGCATCTTTCACAAGGGTGCTGGAGGGAAAAGTAGCAGTCGTTACTCACCACTTCCCCCAAAACAACTCAAATCCCATACGTGCCACCCCTTATCACCTCCTCTCTATTTTGAGCCCTTTTCACTCTGTGACTTCGAATATCTCCCAAGTATATTTCCAGTGAAGTGATGACTGTCACAGACAGGGGTATAACAATGTGTCCTAAAAGTTCCAAGTATGTAAAGATTTATTGTCTTTCATTTCTATGCAAAATTTAAAAAATTAATATAAGTATGTTCTGGATCATCTGGATGCCACCTTTGAACGAAATTAAGCCACACAGTTTCAGTACCTTCCTTTGTTTCTGTATTGAAATTAATTTATCAGCAAAGAAAGAGCAACTGATACCTTTTCATGATAACCAAATGAAGGTTTAATTAGTTAAGTCTAGTTTAAATTTGTGTTTTTCAAGCTAAAGTTCTTTGACATACTCTGGGAGTTCACTACTTTTAGTTTTCTTTAAAAGAGGTTCATAAATTTTATCAAGTTGAAAATCACTACAATAAATGATGACTGAAGGAACTTTGAACAGGGTTAATTCAGTATTTATCACCTTTTCCAAAAAGGCCTAGCTCCCTCATCTTGATAATTAACTTTACAGTCTCCAAAATAAACACATCAATTTTAAATGACACAAAGACTATAAAAAATTAAATTTCAAGTTAATTCCCATTTATAGGCACCTGTTAAGTGCAAGAATATAGGCAATGCTAAGGCAAATAACACCTGTGTCCTACCTTCCAGAAACTGAATCATCTAATCACAGTGCATCTACAAGAGAAAAGCTACATCTAAGTCAAGTCTCAAGGGCACAGAGGTCAACATCATAGGTAGTTCCCATCACCCCTTTCCAGTCCCAATACATATCTTCTGTAGCAGTTGCTACCCATGCAAATGATTAGCATAGTGAGTTATAAAGGGAGGACAGGCCGAGGGGAGCAGGGACGAGACCACACCTGCAGGAAGACTTTCTCCAGATGTAATGAAAGGGTGTGTGCAATTCTGAACATCTGTCCCCACAAACTGACATATCCCCATCTCCCTCCTACACCACTTTTGGAACCAAAGTACTAAGTATGTGTGTATTTTATTATTATTGTTATTATTATTATTAAGGTATTAAATATGTGTCCTTATGCCCACATTGTCCCCCTTCCCACTGATGCCCTCCCCCCTTGGTGTCTGTGTCCATTGGTTAAGCTTATATGCATGCATACAAGTCCTTTGGTTGATCTCTCCCCCTTACCCCCACCCTCCCCTATCTTCCCTCTGAGGTTTGATGGTCTGATTGATGCTTCTCTGCCTCTAGATCTGTTTTTGTTGTATTCTTAAGCGAATAAAAAAATAAACATATTCTTTCAGAAATTTTTGAAAAACAAACTTTATGTTAAAGGGCAAAATTATCATGTAAGGTATTATTTTTATCGAGTGCTGGTAATGTGTGATCCACTGTCCTAGGCCCTAAGGATAACTATGACAATCATTAACTTCTCCCTTTTCACTTAAACAGAGAAGGGGGAATCATTACTCGAGCCTTAAGCATCTGTTGTGTGCTTGGCACCGTGCCCACTGCTGAGGCTCCAACTATGACTAAGGTAGGAGCTAACCAAACTTAGCACATTTCCAATTGTTGAAATCACTTGCAGACTAATGTGAAAACTCGTGTGAAGTATAAGATAAAAAAGTAACAGAAACAGCATTTACTAAGAATTGAACTGATATAGTTCCAACAACTCTTTTCCTCCAATATAAAGCTATAAATTCCTAGCTGCCTAAACTATCTTAAGAAAATCCAACAGAGCTTTCAAATCCACTAGTTTATCACAATAGTTTGCATATTATATCAATCAATAAATTCATAGATCATCAATTCATCCATTTATCTTTTACATACTGACTACTATCTTCTTATTTATCTTCTCAACCACCTCATCCTCTTTTACCTGCACTTGACTCACAAGCGGAAAACCAGCTCTATGCCCCTCCCTAGCCCCTGGATACACACATGCCCCTGGATACACACATGCCCAGGGGCAGAGAATAATCACTGATGTTTATGGTGCTGCTATTGAGTAAAGAAGAAAAAGTTCATTTCAATTTTAAATGATAAAAAAATATGATACATTTTATACATATTTCTGTAACAAAACTGGAGGAGTTATTTTTAAAGCACTGATAAATGAAGGCGTCAATTAGCAGGAGGGTTCAGGTGTATGGCTGGAATACTGCCTGCCAAGCCTATAAATGAAGCAGTAGAATTAGTACATGTGTGTGCCCAGTGATATATATGTGAGTAAAACACACATTTCTATAAACACAGATGTGCATATGATTTACTTTAGATCAAAACCCATCATTATTTTCTCAGTTTTAAGCTAAAAATAGATTTTAGTTAAATATAGGGTGATAAATAGCTTGCCATTTTAACTTTGAGAAAAAAAAAAAAAAAGCCTACAGACTTTATTACAGAGCCAGAAGGGCCCTCAAACTCCATCAATAAACTTTCAGAAAGTCAATTTACTGCAACACTATTTTCATAGACTCATCTCTCTTTCTAAAATTTTCCTTTGGGCTTCAATTTTCCCCTTCGTGAACACCAACCCAAAGGCAAGTATCTGCAAATGACTTTTAGTTTTTCTCTTGTTCTTTACTGGAAGGACTTAATCTCAAGAGTTCAAGAGAAAGGTAGGTGCCCCACTCACTCAGCTACTAGACACGAAGCTCAACAGAAAGGTAGGTGACACTGTAGAATATCACACTTAAAGAGCACATCCCTCAGTTTCCACTTCAGACGACAGAAAAAGCCTGTTCTTATCATACACCAGAGATTAAGTTCAGAAGTATTAAATAATTAGTACCCTCAAAGGGTTCTGAATCTCTCAGAGGAAGTATTTTTTAAACAAAAAATAAAATCAAAATTGGATTGTTCAAGTTTCTAATTAATATGGGTGATCTGAACTACCTTAGTTTGAAAAAAAATGATAGGAGTTATTTTTCTATTTAAATACATATGATTACAAATTTTTATTTTAAATCCATTCAGAATCATTCATAGCTGAGTTGAAAAAAAAATAGGTGATGGACATAAGACCATCCCTCCCAAATTACTAATTGTATATTGTGATTGAATGTGATTTGTTATTAAATAGCTTCAGGCCCTGGCCAGGCTCAGTTGGCCAGTTAGCGTATATACCTGGCTTTTGGGTTCAATCTCCAGTCAGGTTGCCTACAGGAGGCAACTGATCGATGTTTATCTCGTACATCAATGTTTCTCTCTCTTCCTCTCTCTAAAATCAATCTTTTTAAATAACATATCTTCGGGTGAGGATTTTAAAAATATAAATAACCACATGATGGCAGATAGGAAAACTATAAGCAAATTAAACTATTCCAAGAAAGCAACCCCTACCACCACAGCCCCAAAAACTTTCTGGCTGGGAACCATCCATGCAATTAGTAAAGAGCTCCTTCTAAATGTGTCTGATTTCAATATTTCAAGCCATGAAAAGTTTGGTTGTTTTTTTTAAATAAGGATTAGAAGTGCTGACAGCTTATTAAACATTTGCTTTTTAATTAGAACTTATTTCTGTTCCTGCACTTAGTAATAAATATGTACAACTATGTCCAAAATTTACAGCAACAGCTCATCTGGTTGATTTTATTGTCAAACTAAACTTGACGGAGGTGAGTTGAACTTTGACTTTAAATCTAGTAACTAATATATTCACCTCTATAACTCCAACAGCTGGCACAGTAACTGTCAAAGAGCAAGCTCATAAAAGTTTGTTCAATCAAACTGAGCTGAGAAATATCTGTCAAAGATAATATGCCCTTAGTAAGAAAATTTAACGGAAGAATGAAACACGAATGGCTGGCACAGTAATTTTCTACAGTTCTAAGAGCTCTTGGAAAATACAGAAAGAATAATGAATGATTCAAAGGGTATAAAAGTCAAAAACAATCAGGGTCTCAAATGACAGACCAAGTGTTGAAGACATTTAATACAAAACAAAGTGGAGCTAAAATCTAAGCAGAGGGGAAAACCAGAGAAAGAAAACAGTTACATGGGAAAAAATTTAAAAATAAAATAGTTAGGCAGCAAATAATACAAGGGGGTCGAGGTCGCTCTTTACACACCCAGAGACAAATATGGACACCAAAACCCCTGAGTCTGACATTTTCTCCTCCAGGAACTACAGTGTCCAAAAAAGCAAGGCTAATCAAGTATTAACCAGGATGTATGCAATAAATTAAAGGATTATTTTTATACGTTTTATTGATTTTATCAGCTTATAAGGTATTAAGGATTCTTTTTTGAAAATTAAAAAAAAAATCTACAAATATAATTTTGGAAAAGGCCCTTCCAAACATTTCACAGAACAAAGCCTCTGACTGTCCATTCATCCCTGTCCCCCCAACACACACACACACACATACACACTGTAACATTTGCTTTTTTCAACATTAATCCTGTATAGAATTTTAAATCCTAGTTTTTCCTTTCAACAGTAAACATTTTGCCATTTCATTTTTAAATATCTTCAAAAGCATCATCAGTAATTGTATTTTTATGAAAGTAATAAACATGCTCATGATGAATACACTCACTAGGCAGAGGGTATGGAATAAGCCCTTCTTTCCTATTCCCCACTCTCCATTTCCATTTCCCATAGGTAATTCCTTTTTTCGGTGTTTCAGCATATCCTTTCAGGAATTTTCTACACGTCATTTATATCTACATATAAAGGATGCAGATTTAAATATATATCATTTCAATTCTTTTCAAGTTCCACTTCAAAAACATCTGTTCTTTATATGTATGTGCTTTCATGTGACTTCCTTTCTCCAGTAGCAGAAACTTGTTGTTGGGCATTGGTATAGTTGTTTTGGATACCAACAATTGGAACAGTCTCTGTATTTGGACAACAGACTCTCCATTGTCCGGTCAAAGCAAAAAAGAAAGAGGACACTACTTCCGAT